TGCACTGTGCTACTACTACTACACCATGTGACGCGGCACTGTGCTACTACTACTACACCATGTGACACTGCACCGTGCTACTACTACTACACCATGTGACGCTGCACTGTGCTACTACTACTACACCATGTGACGCTGCACTGTGCTACTACTACTACACCATGTGACGCTGCACTGTGCTACTACTACTACACCATGTGACACTGCACTGTGCTACTACTACTACACCATGTGACGCTGCACTGTGCTACTACTACTACACCATGTGACGCTGCACTGTGCTACTACTACTACACCATGTGACGCTGCACTGTGCTACTACTACTACACCATGTGACGCTGCACTGTGCTACTACTACTACACCACGTGACGCTGCACTGTGCTACTACTACTACACCATGTGACACTGCACTGTGCTACTACTACTACACCACGTGACGCTGCACTGTGCTACTACACCATGTGACACTGCACTGTGCTACTACTACTACACCATGTGACGCTGCACTGTGCTACTACTACTACACCATGTGACACTGCACTGTGCTACTACTACTACACCATGTGACGCTGCACTGTGCTACTACTACTACACCATGTGACACTGCACTGTGCTACTACTACTACACCATGTGACACTGCACTGTGCTACTACTACTACACCATGTGACACTGCACTGTGCTACTACTACTACACCATGTGACGCTGCACTGTGCTACTACACCATGTGACGCTGCACTGTGCTACTACTACTACACCATGTGACACTGCACTGTGCTACTACTACTACACCATGTGACACTGCACTGTGCTACTACTACTACACCATGTGACACTGCACTGTGCTACTACTACTACACCATGTGACGCTGCACTGTGCTACTGCTACTACACCATGTGACGCTGCACTGTGCTACTACTACTACACCATGTGACGCTGCACTGTGCTACTACTACTACACCATGTGACGCTGCACTGTGCTACTGCTACTACAGCGTGCAGCGCTGCACTGTGCTACTACTACTACACCACGTGACGCTGCACTGTGCTACTGCTACTACACCATGTGACGCTGCACTGTGCTACTACTACTACACCATGTGACGCTGCACTGTGCTACTACTACTACACCATGTGACGCTGCACTGTGCTACTACTACTACACCACGTGACGCTGCACTGTGCTACTACTACTACACCATGTGACACTGCACTGTGCTACTACTACTACACCATGTGACGCTGCACTGTGCTACTACTACTACACCATGTGACACTGCACTGTGCTACTACTACTACACCATGTGACACTGCACTGTGCTACTACTACTACTACACCATGTGACGCTGCACTGTGCTACTACTACTACACCATGTGACACTGCACTGTGCTACTACTACTACACCATGTGACGTGCACTGTGCTACTACTACTACACCATGTGACGCTGCACTGTGCTACTACTACTACACCATGTGACGCTGCACTGTGCTACTACTACTACACCATGTGACGCTGCACTGTGCTACTACACCATGTGACGCTGCACTGTGCTACTACTACTACACCATGTGACACTGCACTGTGCTACTACTACTACACCATGTGACACTGCACTGTGCTACTACTACTACACCATGTGACACTGCACTGTGCTACTACTACTACACCATGTGACGCTGCACTGTGCTACTGCTACTACACCATGTGACGCTGCACTGTGCTACTACTACTACACCATGTGACGCTGCACTGTGCTACTACTACTACACCATGTGACGCTGCACTGTGCTACTGCTACTACAGCGTGCAGCGCTGCACTGTGCTACTACTACTACACCATGTGACGCTGCACTGTGCTACTGCTACTACACCATGTGACGCTGCACTGTGCTACTACTACTACACCATGTGACGCTGCACTGTGCTACTACTACTACACCATGTGACGCTGCACTGTGCTACTACTACTACACCACGTGACGCTGCACTGTGCTACTACTACTACACCATGTGACACTGCACTGTGCTACTACTACTACACCATGTGACGCTGCACTGTGCTACTACTACTACACCATGTGACACTGCACTGTGCTACTACTACTACACCATGTGACACTGCACTGTGCTACTACTACTACTACACCATGTGACGCTGCACTGTGCTACTACTACTACACCATGTGACACTGCACTGTGCTACTACTACTACACCATGTGACGTGCACTGTGCTACTACTACTACACCATGTGACGCTGCACTGTGCTACTACTACTACACCATGTGACGCTGCACTGTGCTACTACTACTACACCATGTGACACTGCACTGTGCTACTACTACTACACCACGTGACACTGCACTGTGCTACTACTACTACACCACGTGACGCTGCACTGTGCTACTACTACTACACCATGTGACGCTGCACTGTGCTACTACTACTACACCATGTGACGCTGCACTGTGCTACTACACCATGTGACGCTGCACTGTGCTACTGCTACTACACCATGTGACACTGCACTGTGCTACTACACCATGTGACGCTGCACTGTGCTACTACTACTACACCATGTGACGCTGCACTGTGCTACTACTACTACACCATGTGACGCTGCACTGTGCTACTACTACTACACCATGTGACGCTGCACTGTGCTACTACTACTACACCATGTGACGCTGCACTGTGCTACTACACCATGTGACACTGCACTGTGCTACTACTACTACACCATGTGACGCTGCACTGTGCTACTACTACTACACCATGTGACGCTGCACTGTGCTACTACTACTACACCATGTGACGCTGCACTGTGCTACTACTACTACACCACGTGACGCTGCACTGTGCTACTACACCATGTGACGCTGCACTGTGCTACTACTACTACACCATGTGACGCTGCACTGTGCTACTACTACTACACCATGTGACGCTGCACTGTGCTACTACTACTACACCGTGTGACGCTGCACTGTGCTACTACTACTACACCATGTGACGCTGCACTGTGCTACTGCTACTACACCATGTGACGCTGCACTGTGCTACTGCTACTACACCATGTGACGCTGCACTGTGCTACTGCTACTACACCATGTGACGCTGCACTGTGCTACTGCTACTACACCATGTGACGCTGCACTGTGCTACTACACCATGTGACGCTGCACTGTGCTACTACTACTACACCATGTGACACTGCACTGTGCTGCTACACCATGTGATGCTGCACTGTGCTACTGCTACTACAGCGTGCAGCACTGCAGTGCGACACAGCTGCACGGCGTCTCACTTGATGGTCTGCAGGAAGCGCACACGGTCACGGATCTCGTCGGGGATGCGGCCGAGGATGGTCTTGAGCGAGCGAGCACGCTCACTCAGCTCCCGCAGGGACACGTCGGAACACTCCACACGCAGCTCTGCACGCGGGGTGGGGTCACGGGGGGGTCACGGGGGGGTCACGGAGGGGTCACGGAGGGGTCACGGACGGGGGGAGACACGGGGGGGAGGACACAGGGGGAGAGAAAGGGGGAGACACGGGGGGAGACACGCGGGGAGACACGCGCGGAGACACGCAGGGAGACACGCGAGGAGACACGCGGGGAGACACGGGGGGAGAGACAGGGGGAGACACGCGGGGAGACACGCGGGGAGACACGGGGGGAGACACGCGGGGAGACACACGGAGAGACACAGACACGTGGAGAGACACACAGAGAGACACAGACACGCGGAGAGACACGCGGAGAGACACAGACACGTGGAGAGACACACGGAGAGACACAGACACGCGGAGAGACACACAGAGAGACACGTGAGGAGACACACGGAGAGACACAGACACGTGGAGAGACACACGGAGAGACACAGACACGTGGAGAGACACGCGGGGAGACACGCGGAGAGACACACGGAGAGACACAGACACGCGGAGAGACACACGAAGAGACACGTGGGGAGACACACGGAGAGACACGTGGAGAGACTCGCGGAGACACACAGACACGTGGGAAGACACGTGGAGAGACACGCGGAGAGACACACGGAGAGACACAGACACGTGGAGAGACACACGGAGAAACACAGACACGTGGAGAGACACAGACACGTGGAGAGACACGCGGAGAGACACAGACACGTGGAGAGACACGCGGAGAGACACACGGAGAGACACACGGAGAGACACAGACACGTGGAGAGACACACGGAGAGACACACGGAGAGACACACGGAGAGACACAGACACGCGGAGAGACACGCGGAGAGACACACGGAGAGACACACGGAGAGACACAGACACGTGGAGAGACACACGGAGAGACACAGACACGTGGAGAGACACACGGAGAGACACAGACACGCGGAGAGACACACGGAGAGACACACAGAGAGACACAGACACGTGAAGAGACACACGGAGAGACACAGACACGTGGAGAGACACACGGAGAGACACAGACACGTGGAGAGACACACGGAGAGACACAGACACGCGGAGAGACACACGGAGAGACACACAGAGAGACACAGACACGTGGAGAGACACGCGGAGAGACACAGACACGTGGAGAGACACGCGGAGAGACACAGACACGCGGAGAGACACACGGAGAGACACACAGAGAGACACAGACACGCGGAGAGACACAGACACGTGGAGAGACACACGGAGAGACACAGACACGTGGAGAGACACGCGGAGAGACACACAGAGAGACACAGACACGCGGAGAGACACAGACACGCACACGTGGAGAGACACGCGGGGTGTTCGCTCACCCTCCAAATCCTCAGCCGCCATCCTCAGCAGCGCCTCTGGGAAGTTCACTCCCTCCCTCTCCTGCTTTAAGATGCCGAGGATAATCTCCTGGGTGATGCCAGGGTTACCCCTCTCCGCCTGGACAAAGGAGACAAAGATCCCCCGTGTAGCCTCCGCAGACCGCTGGGGCAAGTGCTGTCAGCAAGCAGCAGCAGCAGCAAGCGAGCGTGCCCTTTTAAATCGCCTACAATGACGAACTTTCTGTCCCACGCGCACCTCCGATTTGCACGGGTTGGCTACGTACGGTGTGAAAGAAGTTCAACACACAGCACGGTTGGCTACGTACGGTGTGAAAGACGTTCACACACACAACACGGTTGGCTACGTACGGTGTGACAGAAGTTCAACACACACACACACAGAGACACATACATAGGTACAGACGGTGAAACGTTGCCTTGCGAGTGAAGTGAGTGTGGATCCGACCCACCTTGGTGAAGGCCGCTCTCAATGTCTGTGCCGCAGCCAAATCCTCATTCTCCAGCTGCGGAGAGACGATTTTAACGATGACGAGTTGTTATCATTATCATTATCACGATGATTGCAATCACTGCGATAGCCACACACTCCGCTGCATCGAATTCTGTTGTTATTTTTTTCTTAACCAGGTGTAGGAAGCTCTCTTTCAGAAGGGAGTCTGGGTCTCGCACAAAGTAGCGGCTTACCATCATCACCATCATCACAATCATCATCATAATCACAATCGCTATCATCAACATCATCATCACAATCGCTATCACTATCGTCATAATCATCATCATAATCATCATCACTACCATCGCAATCACTATCATCACCACTACCATCACTATCATTATCACAATCATCATCGCAATCATCATCACAATAATCATCATCACAGTCACCACAATCACAATCGCTATCATCACAAACACCATCATTATCATCATCACAATCATCATCATCATCATCACAATCATCATCACCACTACCATCACTATCATCACCATAACGACCATCATCATCACCATCACTACCATAATTGTCGTCATTTACTAAAACGTGCGGTGACGTCGATACTAAATGTGAAGGGAGGATCCGGAGAAAAATCCAGAGACACGCAAACTCCAAATCTACAGCAGCAGTAGCAGGCGTCGTCAGGGTCGGGATCGAACCCACGACCTCCTGCACACCAGGCGAGGTAGTCAACATCTCGACAATTACAGTCATCCACAGGGTAGGGATCGAACCCACGACCTTCTGCGTACCAGGCGAGGTAGTCAACATCTCGACAATTACAGTCATCCACAGGGTAGGGATCGAACCCACGACCTTCTGCGTACCAGGCGAGGTAGTCAACATCTCGACAATTACAGTCATCCACAGGGTAGGGCTCGAACCCACGACCTCCTGTACACCGGGCGAGGTAGTCAACATCTCCTAGCCACCGTGACGATGATGATGATGATGAGAGAGAGACACAAACTTCAAATATACAGCAGCAGGCATCGTAAGGGTCGGGATCGAACCCACGACCTCCTGCGTACCAGGCGAGGTCGTCAACATCTCCTAGCCACCGTGACGACGAAGACGATGACGATGAGAGAGAGAGAGACACACGCAAACTCCAATGACGGTGAACGTTAACTTCCTGATATCCGCAGAGCGTTCCAGACGGCCGCAGAAGCTCCTCTCACAGCGCCGCGATGAGCCGGCGACCGCTGGCCAAAAATCCGCCGCTGTAGCGAGGAAGACCTCGAGTCTGCGCGTCGGCGATGGCCGCGGTAATTTTGAGCCAGGGCCCTAACGATTCGGGGAAGGTTTGTGTGGTGCCGAGCGCCCCTCCCGTGAGCGTCGCGACGAAGCGTGTCACTCGCCTGCCTGAGCACGGGGCTCACGACCACGTGCAGCGGCAGAGAGAGAGCGGCGCCGTCAGCGAAGAGCCTCCCCCCCACGCCGCCGCCGCCGCCTTCCATCGCCGCCGCCGCCGCCACGGTCGGCCACCGTCGTCCACCCCCACCACAAGCTCCTCAAGCTCCTCAAGCTCCTCAAGCTCCTCAAGCTCCTCAAGCTCCCCGTGCCTCTTGGCGGAACCCCGGCGGGAGCCGCTGTGAGAGGGGGGGGGTGGCGGCTTGCGTCTGCCGTTGGTCCGTCCTGCTGCGTGGGCGACACGAAACGACGACGTCGTCGTCGTCGTTGTCATCGTCGTCGTCGTTGTCATCGTCGTTGTCATCATCATCGTCGTCATCATCGTCGTCGTCGTCATCATCGTCGTCATCATCACCATCGTGTATACTGTTTACTACAGTACTATAGTATTGTCACCACGTGTATACTGTTTACTATAGTATAGTGTTGTGATCACGTGTATACTGTTTACTATAGTATAGTGTTGTAATCACGTGTGTACTGTATACTACTACAGTAGTGTTATGACCACGTGTATACTGTTTACTACAGTACTATAGTGTTGTGACCACGTGTATACTGTTTACTACAGTACTGTATAGTGTTGTGATCACGTGTATACTGTTTACTACAGTACTATAGTGTTGTGACCACGTGTATACTGTTTACTATAGTATAGTGATCACGTGTATACTGTTTACTATAGTATAGTGTTGTAATCACGTGTGTACTGTATACTACTACAGTAGTGTTATGACCACGTGTATACTGTTTACTACAGTACTATAGTGTTGTGACCACGTGTATACTGTTTACTACAGTACTGTATAGTGTTGTGATCACGTGTATACTGTTTACTACAGTACTATAGTGTTGTGACCACGTGTATACTGTTTACTATAGTATAGTGATCACGTGTATACTGTTTACTATGGTATTAGAGTGTTGTGACCACGTGTATACTGTTTACTATAGTACTATAGTCGTGTGACCACGTGTATACTGTTTACTATAGTACTAGTGTTGTGATCACGTGTATACTGTTTACTATAGTATAGTGTTGTAATCACGTGTGTACTGTATACTACTACAGTAGTGTTATGACCACGTGTATACTGTTTACTACAGTACTGTATAATGTTGTGATCACGTGTATACTGTTTACTACAGTACTATAGTGTTGTGACCACGTGTATACTGTTTACTATAGTATAGTGATCACGTGTATACTGTTTACTATGGTATTAGAGTGTTGTGACCACGTGTATACTGTTTACTATAGTACTATAGTCGTGTGACCACGTGTATACTGTTTACTATAGTACTATAGTGTTGTTATCACGTGTATACTGTTTACTATAGTATAGTGTTGTAATCACGTGTGTACTGTATACTACTACAGTAGTGTTATGACCACGTGTTTACTGTTTACTATGGTATTAGAGTGTTGTGACCACGTGTATACTGTTTACTATAGTACTATAGTCTTGTGACCACGTGTATACTGTTTAATATAGTACTATAGTGTTGTGACCACGTGTATATTGTTTACTATAGTGTTGTGATCACGTGTATACTGTTTACTACAGTACTATAGTGTTGTGACCACGTGTATACTGTTTACTACAGTACTCTAGTCTTGTGACCACGTGTATACTGTTTACTATAGTACTATAGTGTTGTGACCACGTGTATACTGTTTACTATAGTATAGTGATCACGTGTATACTGTTTACTATAGTATAGTGTTGTGACCACGTGTATACTGTTTACTACAGTACTATAGTGTTGTGACCACGTGTATACTGTTTACTACAGTACTATAGTGTTGTGATCACGTGTATACTGTTTACTACAGTACTATAGTGTTGTGACCACGTGTATACTGTTTACTACAGTACTATAGTGTTGTCACCACGTGTATACTGTTTACTACAGTACTATAGTGTTGTGACCACGTGTATACTGTTTACTACAGTACTATAGTGTTGTGACCACGTGTATACTGTTTACTACTATATAGTGTTGTCACCACGTGTATACTGTTTACTACAGTACTATAGTGTTGTGACCACGTGTATACTGTTTACTACAGTACTATAGTGTTGTGACCACGTGTATACTGTTTACTACAGTGCTATAGTGTTGTGACCACGTGTATACTGTTTACTACAGTGCTATAGTGTTGTGACCACGTGTATACTGTTTACTACAGTGCTATGGTGTTGTGACCACGTGTATACTGTTTACTATAGTGTTGTAACCACGTGTATACTGTTTACTACAGTACTATAGTGTTGTGACCACGTGTATACTGTTTACTACAGTACTATAGTGTTGTGACCACGTGTATACTGTTTACTATAGTATAGTGATCACGTGTATACTGTTTACTATGGTATTAGAGTGTTGTGACCACGTGTATACTGTTTACTATAGTACTATAGTCTTGTGACCACGTGTATACTGTTTACTATAGTACTATAGTGTTGTGACCACGTGTATACTGTTTACTATAGTGTTGTGACCACGTGTATACTGTTTACTACAGTACTGTAGTGTTGTGACCACCTGTATACTGTTTACTACAGTAGTGTTGTGACCACGTGTATACTGTTTACTATAGTGTTGTGACCACGTGTATTACTATTTTATTCTCATTCTACGTGACTTTACCGAAAGAACCAAAGAAGATGAATCATTGCAGTCACGAAAGCTTTAAATCGAAATTTACACGCGTATACTGTTTACTATAGTGTTGTGACCACGTGTATACTGTTTACTATAGTACTATAGTGTTGTGACCACGTGTATACTGTTTACTACAGTACTATAGTGTTGTGACCACGTGTATACTGTTTACTACAGTACTATAGTGTTGTGACCACGTGTATACTGTTTACTACAGTATATAGTGTTGTGACCACGTTGTGTGTGTGCGTAAAGCATTTTTTTAAATTTTGTGTCCAAGTGTAGTGACTGTTCTTTAGTAAACTGTACTTGCAATTGAAAGTCGTCCTACACAACAATAACCCTCCTCTCTCTCGTCTGCCTCACACCAGCCACGATCAAAATTGCAATGAATACAATCAATTACTTCACGTTAAAAAAAATTTAAATAAAAATTATTTAAAAGTGTACGGTATTTTTGTAATTCATCATTTGTACGTGAATATTTTTTCTGTTGTTGTTGTTGTTGGGTTGTTTAACGAATCATCATCCATCCTGTTTCCCACGGGGCTATATTCGCCTCGGTATACGAGTGCTTTGGATGACGAGCACGCTTCCGGG